CATGGCTGGCTGGGGAATTCAAGTCCACTCATCTTAAAGTGGCCAAGTTTGGACAACACTGGTTTATATGCTACTCCTTCACTCTTTGCAGGGCTGGAAGATTACTGAGGAATGCCCCTTGAATGATCCTCTTTTAGCCCATTCTGCCTCACACAACGGGTGTGAGTGTATATATATACTCACAGTTACTGGTGTCTTCTCACTGGTTTCCATTTTCTTTCCAATAGTGAAATACTATTAATTTGTAATGAAATAAAGGAAAGAGGAAAGCAATTCAACTCAATCACCAGTGTGTTTTGACTTTACAAAAGATAGAGTATGAGTGCATAGTTCTCTTAAGTGTTAAGGCTTAACAGATTACCACTTCCCAGATTCACTTTGCAACAGAACCTGGTAAGCGTTAAGTAGTCCATTGGCTAGTGATCTGTTAGTGTCCAAAGATCCTCATCTGATCTTTAAAAAATTAGACGTTCAGGAATACTATTTTAAAAAAAACACCATTCCTTAATTGTTTAACAGTTTATTGCTTGTGGTGGGTATTGCTCCTGTAATAAACATACCTGCATGTCCCCTCTTTATTCCAAAGCATTCCTCTGAGCTGAAGGAAATTTGAAACGATCTGGGGGCTTCTTGATACTGCCCAGTTGCCCTATCACCAGAATGGGCAGGCAACTATTTCTGAAGGGCAGAGGTAGATGACTTCATCATCTGTTACTCTCCCATTCCCCATCAAAGTAACCCCAGAGTGCGTTGGAGCAGAAACAGGTCTAAAGTGCATTTTTTCATGTTACGTTGCCTGGAGCGCTGCAGAACGCTGGGCTGCCTCTTCAATGGAGCCAGTGCTTATCATTCACTCTAATTGTTTCCCAAGCTAAAATAGTACAGTGGCTATGATCTTTGGTGGTTCAGAACCTGGCATTTAAAAAATTATTATTAGTTTTCCCCCCGGGCCTTTTCTTTTTAAAATAAGTTCAGGGGTTTACCATATTAATGTTTTTCCACTCACCTGAGGTAGAAGGGTTTTTACATTTCGATACTTTGACTTTGTACATGCGTATGTGTGTTTGCGTGCCTATATGTATGCAGATGCATACCACACACACACACATGCTGTATCATCATCATCATCATCATCACCACCACCATCCTGAATTAATCCACTGCAAGATGAAGTCCTCTTCACTGCAGGATATGGACTATAATCTACCACTCTGGTCTAATGTGAGTTGGTTAACAGATTTTTTTTAAAAAAAAATTTCCAGCCTAGAGCTAAGTGGAAGTGACTGGAGATAGACAAGGATAGATGAGAGAGAGAGAGAGATGATAGATAGATATGACAAATAGATAAGAGAGGGAGAGGGAGAGGGAGAGAAGTATATATGTCCAGGACCACCACCTACAAGATGGAAAGTTATTGGCAATTGCTTTCCTGAAACAGGATGGTGGGAGGGCACAGCAGTGAGGGAATTATCGACTGGGAGTGGTAGCCTGCAGTCCAGACTGAATAACTTGCAAGTTGTCAAAATGTCTCAGTACAAATGGGATCATCTTAAAACTACTTAGAGCAAGCTTGTTGAGGGCTGGAAGATTACTGATGAATGCCCCTTTTGACCGGGCTTTGACATCATCAGGGTACTATAGTCAAATATTGATCAGTTTGTCACTATATAATAAGACCCAATACAATAGCAACTCTGTAATTACCCAAGGGTGAGTAAAAAAAAATCAAATCAAATCTTTAAAATGGACCTTCTTCCACCTTCCATTACCCATCCTCTCAGCTACACTTCTGGGTACATACTGTGTCAGTTCTTCCATGCTTTAAGGAAATATTGTACAATACATCAGTGGAACAATTCATAGTAACCTAATTATAAACATGGAGTGATGCTGTGGGTCAGAGGTTGTGGGAGTGTGGGGGTCTATAAAAAAGATGTATACCTCTTGATAGATACAGCAGTGGAAACAGTGAAAGCAGGAAATGTCTATTAACAAACAAGCCACATGAGTTACTATTTGAGCACTGTTTTTCCCACCTGGTCCCTCCACGTGTGCTGAAGTATGACGTTCAAAATTCCCAGCAAGGATAACTATTGGAATTCTGGGAGTTGTAATCTCCAAGCCTCTGAAGGCAACCAGACCAGAAAAGGCTGAATTAGCAACTGAAGCAATAATAAACGCAGTTTGTCTGGCCAGACCATGCAGTTTTCTCAGACATTAGTGTAGGCCAGGTGAAACCATCTCTGCCGTGGACCTTGGTTTGCCTAACTGAATAAAAAAGAGCAACATGATGCTCTTGTTTAATTCCCTTTAATTCAATTAAATTGTTTTCCACAATTTAAATTTAAATTTAAGGCGCTGGCTTTGATTTATAAAGTCCTAATCAGCATCTGATTATCTGAATGACTACTTTTTCCATTCTGTATCTGTCTGGGCACCAGGTCCTGCTTCAGGAGCTCTTTGACAGATGCTCCTATCCTCCAAAGTCTAGCCAGCAAATGCAAGGGGAGGACCTCATCTGTTGCTCCCAAACTATGGAAAAATTCCCTCAAGAGAACGGGTAGTCCCGTTTTCTCTTCTTGCTGAAAAACAGCTATAACAATCAGGCCTTTTGAACTGTTTTAAGAACAATTTTAGCATTCTTGGCTGGATTTTTAGTTCCTTTTTTAATGTTATTTAAAATATCATTTGAGGGACAGCATCTCCTCGGTTACCCATCCCATCAGGTCTGGCAGAAGAGGCATGTTACGGGTCCCATCTATTAAGGAGTTTCATCTGACAGGTCCCTTTTCTGCCGCAGCCCCTGCCCTCTGGAATATCATCCCCCCCCACAACCAGAAGGTAGATTGGCCCCGACCCGGCTTCCTTCCAAAAGGCTCTAAAGACATGGTTGTGCCAACATGCCTGGGGGTCCAGTGATGTTACAGAGCCTGCCAGATGACTATATTCATGACTTTCACTTGTCTGTTTTTTTCTGTTTCTCAATCGTAGTTTTGGTTTTTTATTGGGTTCTTAATTTGGTTTTAAAGGGGTTATTGGATTTTACTGATCTTTGGATTTTGTTTATTGGTTATGTTATTTGGTTGTTTTTAATTATGTGAGCCATCCAGAATCAAAAATGTGAGATGGGCAGCTATGCAAACTGAATAAATAAACGAATAAAATGTATCTTTTATTATTTTCTGTGCATTTTGTATTGTCTTGTTAGTCGCTTAGACTGTTTTGCCTGAATAAAAAGACAGGCTATAAATCAAATACTCACACACTTTGTAATCAGCTTAATAAGAAACTTTGCATTTTTATTAATTCTAATATTTAATTCTAGTATTTTGTTAGAAAGATATTTTTAATCAGTCTGGTGAAAAGTGGTAAACTCTATCTGAATACTATGAATATGTAAGATGCTAATGCATTTTAGAGATCTCTATTATTTTTTATTGTTTTTTAGTGCTCTTAAGTGAAGGCATTTCATTTTATGGTTTTCATACGGGGTGAGAAATTTTACTGATTGTATGTTAATGTTAGTTTTAATGCATATAATTAATGCATTTTATTTTTAAATATGTAATTGCATTTTATCAACTGCAGTATTTGTAATATGCCTTCATAGCTTGCATTGAGCTTGTGTAGAGCCTTCTCAGCATGGTACCTGCTTTGATCATGATCAGTTTCACCTCATTGTTTTTAACAGCTCCTCCCAAGCATCCTATCAAAAGGCCGTCTGCTCACCTGACACTAGGTAAGAAATCTCCTCATGAAACCATGTTTCTGTTCAGCTTTTACATGCATGGAGACTGAAGTAGGGCTACTTCACTGGAGGTGAACAAGACAGAATCCTTGAAACCTGGCTGGGGAATTCTGGCAGTTGAAGTTCACACATCTTAAAGTTGCTGAGACCACCTACATGTGACATTAACTCAGACATTCTGGTTGTCATTTATTTCTCCGTTAGATTTCTGTTCCACTTTTCTTCCAGGAGCATAAGCTGTACTCCCTTCTCCAATGTATCCCTACAACAACCCCATGAGGGAGGGTGGGATGAGAAAGAGAGAGGGATTATTTACTAAAGTCACCCAGTGAGCATCATGGCTGAGGGTGGACTCCTTCAGTCCCACTCCAACACCTTCACCACTACACCACATTGGGGGCTAAAAAATGAATGCAAAGAGAAAGCTGCTTTATACCTACAGCAAAGCAGCATCCATATGTGGGGGTATTATGTTGAAAGGAACTGGCTGAGTGGGTGGGGGTGGTAAAGTCTCAGAGCTCACTGCCCTTCTCCTTCCCAAAATGAAATTTCAGCTTAAATTGAGGCAATGATTCTCCAGTGTTCAGGGTCCTTTATGTTTGTGTGTGTATGTGTTGAAGCCAGTCTTTTTAAATGTGTTTTCATTGCTGATCTATTAGTGAAGATTCCATACAATCTCCTTGCTTACCTCCCCATCCTTCTATGAAACAAGGCTGAAGAAATGGTTGTGTTTTCCAGGACCCCGCAGCACTGCAATTATAGATGGAGTCCTGAAGTGGGAACATCAGAACGGGTTTGCCTTTCTGCATGACATGGGCTACAAGGGCGGTTCACTGATCTGCAACAAGTCTGGGCACTACTATGTCTACTCAAAACTCAACTTGGTATATTTAAGCTGTTCATCCAAACACCAGAGAAGTTCCCTTTTCACCCACAGCATTTACAAGAGGACATCTCGGTATCCCAAGGAGATAATGCTGCTGACCAACTACATTACGTACTGCAACTGGAAGGACAGCGAACAGTGGTACCGCAATAGCTTTGTTGCCGGGGTGGTGTATCTAGAGGAGGAGGAGGAAGTGTTCATCAAAGTAACGGACAGGGAGCTGTTGTTGTACAAGGATGACACGATATCGTATTTTGGCACCTTCATGATCTAAAGGCTTGAAGGCTGTGCGCAGACTTGATTTTAGTTGAGCAATGAGAAGGGCCTCTTCCTCTTACAGCACTGGGGTCACCTCTCAATGTTGCTTCAGCAGTTTTTCAAATACAGTGAAGAAGATGCAGGGGCAAGAGGCCTGCTCATTTTTTTTTTAGGACGAAAAAGTTGTTTGATAAACTGTTGGATGGGGCACAATGACCAAAATAAAAAGGGTGAGAATATATTTGGGAGGGAGGCAGGGACATAGGTGAACTTCTATTTCTTAAAAGAGCTAGTTGACATTGCTTTGGCTAAGCTGTCCATTAGTCACCCACGACAGGCATCCCAAATGTATGCCTGTTTTAGGTAACAGCTGCACTTCTTCTGGGGGGGGCTCATTCTTGTTTTTTCACACATTATAATCTGAAGTGCTGTAAAATCCGACAAAGTCAGTTTGACTGGGAGTCACGGTGGACGCAGAAAATGAGAAGACAACTTATCGCCTCATAGCCTCTGAAAAGCTGCTGTATGTACAGGGACTTAGGGCCTTTCCCCACTTGCACCTACCCACAGCATAAACATGCCCTGGCAATCTCTGGGTTCTGCCATGTCCCCATGAAGTTGCCTTCATCTTGTCCCCAGCAGCCCAGCACTGAGGCAGCCTTGGAATAATATTTTCTCCTCTTATCTTCACCCTCTCCAAGTGCAGCCTCAGGGTGTGTAAACTCTGTTAGGTTTTGTCACCTTGGAGTAATGTCAGGGGACTAGCTGTGACTGGGAGCAAAAGCAATAGAGGCAGGACAGGGATCAGCAATGAGTAGAGACAAGTTCCAGCAGAAGGGGTTTTTTGCCACTCAAGGATGTGTGGACAGCACTTCAGCTCAGCAGTAGGGAGAGGCCCTAAACTCATGATGAAGATTTTGAATTTTTACTCCTGTGTCACTTCATCCTGCATGGTCTACCCAGCACAATCCAGAATGCCGTTCTATAGTTACACTGACACAGCAATTGTTGAACCAAGGAGCTTCCTGTGCTGGAGACTGTTGCTATCATTGCAGTGAAATGTCAAATGTAAGCTAAGCTTGAATGACTGGCAGCCTTCTGGCTATGACATGGGACCTATAGTCAGCAATAAAGTCATTCCTTTGTGATCAGCTTTGGAGCCCAGAAAGCTGCCTATTTAGTACTTGGATGGACACGGCCACTTTGAGCCCTTATTTATTCTCAGATGCTTCTCCCTCATCTCCTACCCAAGAACCTTGGAAAGGATTATATTAGCCATTCTCTTCTATGAGTGCCTAGCTGTTTTTCCTTCTGCACAGCTCCTGCATTAACATAGAAATGTAGATAGAATTATATTGGACCACGTGATGACGTCACAAATGCCCAAATAGGCCAGCATTTCCTGGATTAGTCACCCAATCAGGAATTATGTACTAAACAGGCAACTTCTCCCAAACCATGTGACCAATCAGATTTGGTTACATGATCTCCCTTAAGAAAAAGAGGACTATCTAAATGAAAGAGAAGCATTCAAACGGGGAGGTGTGATATTCCTGGAAAGATGTGTCGATAGCTGCCTTAATGATGAAGATACAACTAAAAGTAAAACATCTCTAACCAAAATGATCTATTTTCTCTTGTGCTCAGAGAATTCATTCAGCCCTTCATTAAATGAGAAGGAAATGGATTAATTACCAGTCCTGATATTGAATGGGATCATTATACATTGGTGGAAACCAGTGCCACAGAGAAGGGCTCTAAACAATTGTAATGGAGCAGCTATGTATGTGATAAATCAAAAGAAAATCCCAAAGATTAGTGTGTTATTATTCAAATATATTGTTTGTGGGACTGCTCTTAAAAAGGATTTGAAAACTGTAGCTATGATAAAATATGGCAGCCAGTGATATATTCACGCCACACTGCATCTTGTTTAAGTTACACTGGTTTCCAGATTATTTCCCAACACATTTTAAAGTTCTTGGATCACCTTTAAAGTTTTCATCAGTTAGATCAGTGTTTCTCAGCCTGGCTGGCTGGGGAATTCTGAGAGTTGAAGTCCACATATCTTCAAGTTGCCAAGGTTGAAAAACACTGGTTTAGATGGAGGCCTTGCTCTTCGCCCCTCGGCCCATAGGCTAGCAGGCAGCAGGAGGGTCAAAAAAGTCAGAACAGTGCCCGCAACTGCGAATTGACATCCCAACCTTTTTTTTAATCTGTGTTGCACATAAAATGGGTCAGGACTTTGACCATGCAATTGCAGCACAATCTTTTTTTTTTTAACCTCTTCCGCAGACACTCAAAATAATCTCACTAGCAGAACCAAGCCCTGGAATGTTTAGTTGGCTTGCCCTCTTTCAGTCTCAAGGGGCTGATCAAAGCCTCTTATTTTGCCAGGCTTTTTGGAAAGTTAGCTTGGTATCCTGCTGCTATAGTTGGTTGACTAATACTCTGTTCGTCCCTGTTCTTTTGCGTTTGATTGTGGCATTGCTATGATTTGATTCTTTAGGCTTTTCATCTATATAATAAGTGGCCTTGTTTCTTGTTTTTGTCTTGGAATTGAAAGACTGGTTTCATATATTTGAAATAAACAAATATGCTCTTGCAAAAGCAATCTAGATGCCACGGTCATGCAGCGTGCAGCAAAGCTCAAATGAAAAGCAGGGATGGCAAAAGAGGGAATAAGCCGGTCAGGCCTCGTTTTCTCCTGTTTCACAAATTATTTGTCAACTATGGTCAAAAGATACGTATGCATACACTGTGCCTCTCTCCAGCCACTTTCATGCTGGCTGGGGAATCCTGGGAGTTGAAGTCCACACATCTTAAGGTTGCCAAGGTTGAGCAGCACTGCTCTATTGCACTGTCCAATGACATTTATAGGTCCTCCAAGAAAAACAATGGAATGAGACTTCTGTCACTTGGACATTAAGAATTTTCTCTCTTCCTCACACTTACATTAGCTGCCCTCCTCAAAGCCTTTTCCAGACTATCCTCTCTCTTTTTCCAACAAAAGCTCATTGTATTTATTAGATTAGATTTATTTTTATCCCACCTTTATTATTTTTATAAATAACTCAAGGTGGTGAACATACCTAATACTCCTTCCTCCTCCTATTTTCC